GGCCCGGTCACTGCACGCGGCCAGTGAATCACCTTAGGTTCTCTGGCATTAGGAGTACATTTTCCGAGTGGTACCTCAAGTCAGGCACTTGGGACCCTGACATTGCTCAAAGAAGATGTCTCAAGGGAGCATCCTGGAACTCCTTCTATGGCCAGAGCAGTCACTGCAAACCAGCACCTGCTATGACAACTTTCCAAGAAAAAACCCTCTCAGCCCGGCTCCAGGATTTGGAGGGCTTGGTAGATAACGCGTGCATGCACCGCGGTGGCCCCAGAACAGTCCTGCAGAAAACTCCTGGCATGGCGGCAGGCAGGCCCTCGGCCCACACCTAGGGGATGCAGGTGGCTGTCCATGTAGGCAGGATCTTAGCTGGGCTGGGCCCTTCCCTTTAGAATGACAGCAAGTGTCCCAGCTGCTTCCAGGATGTTTAAAGAGCTTGATTCTACCCTCATTCAGTGAAATGGAGTCTGCAAACCAGCACCTTGTCAGAAATCGCTTCTGGGGCTGAAAAAGCATGTTCCTGCTGAATAACATGTTTCCCTGTGCCTTTGTTTCCTCACCTACAAATGTGGGTGATGAGAGTTTCTTACCCCACAGGATTGCTACAAGGACTGAATAAACTATTGTATAACACAGACCGGTGAGAGGTGGCTGGTGCTTATTATTAGCGGCTTTTTAAATCACGGCCTATCTGTTCCTTTGTATCAGCATTCCCCAAATATTACTCATTTGTACAGCACCCTGCTAAACTTTTTACTGTTTTCACTATTGTTTATTTAGTATCTTTAAGATGACTCATTTCCTTTTTACTTAAAATTTATTTTAAAGGGGAACTGTGCATCACCACGGTAAATGGAAAAATAGAATTCTGTGCCACAGCTAGGAGGCAAATGTAAAAATAAGCACAATGAAAACGAAACAACCTAATTAAACTCAAGCCTGTTGCCTGCCAAAGGCATTGACCCCCAGCCTTCCTGTTTTTCCTAAGAAGAAATATCAGCGGGCGTGAAAGGCACCCCAGCGACACGCGGAGACTTTCTCCTCCAGTTAGCTGGGAGGCAAGAAGAGCTGGCATGGAAGGGACTTTGTCCCCGAAGGACGGGGCATTTAATGTCCAATCTCTATCCTGAAACCTGACTCATCACACAGGAAAATCACCCTGCTGTCCTGTACTCTGGGAGATTGTTCTAGAGCAGCACTGCCCAGCAGACCCTTCTGTGCTGGTGGAGATGTTCTCCCCCCACACTCTCCAGACAGTAGCCACCGGCCATGGGTGGCTATTCAGCACTCATAATGTGGCTAATG